AGCGGCCTGTCGATCAAAGCTGACGACAAACTAGCTGCACGGATTTCACACTCGTATCCCGCGCACACGAGTCTATTAACATTATTTTGGTGAAATGTGTATATGTTTTAATAGAGCGCAGCCTCCAACTCTCATCCACTTTAACATCGCTGGCCTCTTTATCCACGTGCTCCCGACAAGGGCAAATGCCCGAAATGCCGCCTATTATCTACACACGGTAGAGTATTTCACTTTTAAGGTAGTGTTATATTGACGAACGGTGTGGGGTTTTTTTTTTCGTTAATTGTGCACGGATAAAATGTCCCACTAGAGGCGCTAAGTGCCCAAGTACAGCTCAGGGCGGACTCCTGCATCACGTGCGATCATGATTTTGACTGCTAATGTTGATTATGGGGATTAGCCACATACCCATACCCAGGTGAACGTGGCATTGTGTCCACTACTCACAACAGAGCTTACGTTGATATTCATCGAGAACGGTAAATTACTCCAGCTAAGTTCATAACGAAGCATCCAGTGCTTCGCACTAATGCTATTGTGATTCAATACATCACAGAACAGACGGCTTTCTCTCCCGAAACAATGCTACTTCCTCATGTAATTATATCACAAAATCAATTAAACGTGTAAATGGCTTTGGCTGCTATTGTACAATTCAATGAACAATGACAATGTCACAGACAGTGGCATTCGAGCAATTCCATAACCTTCTGTAATCGTAAAAAAAATCTCGATCTATTATTACGATGACACCTCGCTCCCAAAGCTATGCATTAGCCCGGCTAACTGCGGTCTATGCTGAGCATTCAACGGGTGGCCGTGAAGCTACATTACCCGTGGATAATCTGCGCCCTAACCAGGCAAATAATCGCTTACACCCGGTACGCACAGCAGCATATCCAGCCACGATCCTCCCCATGCACCCCCTCTTAAGCTGTCTCAGGACACAGCCGGAGAAGTTGGATGGAGGTCATTTGGGGGTGAGGCTCTGGAGTGAGGCTCGCAAGTCTCCGCCCGACCTCACATCCATTCCGCTCCCGTTTGAAAATGACGGATCGCCCGTGGAGGATTTAGGGGTTAGGGAACACCAAAAGACCCCGCCACCGCCGCCCCCACCTCTCCTCCTCCACCCCTCCTCTTGCTTCCAAAGCTTGCAGTGTTCTGAGGCATGGGTGCGGGCAGGTACAGACACATAATGAACACTCAATTACATTTACCCTGCATAACCTCATCAAAATGCCTCCTGAGCGTTGCAGCTGTATCTACAAACGATGAATCTGCGCTCCTAAAGCTTTTATTATCCCGCAAGACGAATGTCCCACTCTTTCCCTGCAATCCATTTCGCGTCTAAGGGACACCATGCACGAAGCCCATAACCGCGGATTACATTGATCAGCAGAGAAGCTGCATTTTAATAATTCCCCCAACCAACGTCCACGATTTGCATGGACATTGCAAATGCCTACCTCAAGAGTGTGTGTACGTGGTGGTTATGCATCTGTAGCGGGGCTATAAATACATGGTATTTATAGAATATAATGGTAGGTTTTGCTCTGTACAATACTAGACATCGCCTTAACATATCAGTGTACGGTGTTCATTTTTTTTATTGATGGCTTCGACTGCCAGAATATAATGGGAAAGGACTCTCCTCATTTGTGCTGCAATGTTCATTCATGCTGTCAATGTGTTGTGTTGATCACTGGCAACTATTACTTGGATGCTCAATGGCCTGTTGCAAAAAACTATTTTAAACCTGCTTTACTCCTGCCAAAACTATTAATTATCAATTAAATAGGGTGTTGTCATTGGAGAAAACGATTACTATACTGTCATTATTCACAAATTTTGGCCCATACCGTAGTCATTTTGCTCGAGTTTACTTTTTTTTCAGAAACGCGTGATTATGTGTGCTAATAGCTTACAAAACTAATTCCGCCGCACATGTTAAACCCAATTCACGCAATGTTTACCCATTTCTCCGTTGCGGTTGGGGTGGCGCCGCAGTTAGAGTGCTCGATTTGTAATCGTAAAGTAAAATAACATTTACCATTTATTTACCACAGAAAGCCTCGCCGAGCATCAAGATTGATTTGCTGGATGGTCTCTGCATCGGGGATATTTCCTCAATTCCATCGACGAGTGTCTGGCATGTGGGAGGAAACCGAGCAAAAAAAACCGCACACATACGATTGGGTTTACACAAAAGAAATCTCCGTACAGAAATATTCAAGAATCAGTTGCTGTGCTGCTATCTCCTGGACAAATTGCAGCCCAGCCAAACCTACAACATAAATCACTCCCAGGCACTCTCCCATCCCACTACTTACCAGGTTCAACTCAGCTTAGTTGCCGAGATCACGCACATTCACTTTCAAATTTTGCAGGTTGAAACTCAAATCTCGGTCTAGAGTTCACTAAACCATCCATGCTGGGTCGATAAAATTGACACTACTTTGTGCAAAGTCAACAGTGGTGGTCCTTTGGAGAGGCTGCCCCTAAATGACAGGGATCATTTGGTTTCGCAGCATTGAAGTGGTGATTGCGATTCTATATGAGTGTGATGACGAACGGTCTTTCCATAGAGCAAGCAATTTTTACTTCCCACAAAGCGGTACACATCTTAATTGGTGCCATAATGTAGTTAGAAAAGCAAAAATCGCATGTATCTAGGAAAGTAATCAATTAGTCGTAATACTCGGAAAGGTTCTACATTGCCATGTTTGAACAATTCAATTTGAGAGTGGGATGTGGGAGGAAACCATGACACTTGGAGAGAGGCCAGACATACGAGGGGAAGACGCTCAAATCTCCGCACAGGTGAATTCAATAATCCTGCTGTACTGCCATATGCTTTTCACTCTGCAGCCCAGTGAGTTTGGGAGTTTCACACATGTGTGTTATCCATCAACCTTTGCCTCCAAAGTGCTGGATAACTGGCGTGCACGGTAGAGATGACCCATTTTTTATTAAACCCTCAATCAAATTCCTACTATGGCTATAATGTCGCCTTAAATAACCATGTGTGTTTTGTTCCATATTCATGGGGATGCTGCCGTAGCGCAATGGAAATGGCACACTGAACTTGCAATACAGTGGTTGCCAGTTCTGTCCCCAGGCGAGGTACTTGAGGCAATGGTGTGGGTTTCTTAAAATCTTCTCCGTGCCTCTGTCTCCTGAGCAGTACAAATGGGTACACTACCGTTAGTAGATCAGCAGGTCGTGTGTGGTGGGGTAAAGTGTGGGTACTCTTAAATCGGACAAGCATGGTGTAGTAGGGCAAATATCCTTTTGGAGGAGCTCCCCCTAGTGGAGGCCCTTCCGCAAGAAGAATAGGTATGGGCACGTAATTGCAGGCCTGCGCCTTAGCCGTTTACATATTCACAAATGCTCGTATGGGCTAGGCAAGCAGTTTTTTTATCCTCCCAAATGTGATGCAAGTTGCTGATCCAGGGCGCGGGCAGGCAATTGTCACAGCCAAAGTTCGAAGCGGGTTCCTCGGTGTTAACAGTCACGAGAAACGCACAAACTAAATCTGCTGGCTCGTGCTCGCAGGGATAGTGAAGGGACAGGAGTAGGCGCTCCCATTGCCTCTCTACAAGGTGCCAGTGTTGGCCCATGACGGGTTTCTCCTTATAGATATAAAAGGCTGGAACCTGCACGCCAAGGTGTCCCCACACTCCAACGGGCATCGTGGCGGGAATTCCATAGTACTATGGCAGGGTGAGTACATTCGTCATGCTTTAGCGACCCCTAAGGGGCGATGGGCCGGGTCGACTCCTAAATGCACGACCTTCCAAATTGGTAGTTTTATGATATTGAATTCGAGGAATAATTAAGATGTAGGCTAGAATTTTTTTTCCGGATAGAAGTACATACTTGGTGTGAATATTATTATATTACATTTTAATCTTTTTGGTTTTAATTATCAAGAGTTGTATTTGCTGAGTTTAGATATTTGCTACTCCAATCTAAACGGTATTATCGATAACGTTTTTTTTACATCTACACCTGATGGCGAATGCGCGTTTTCAGCCGCAATTCCTACCGGGCACAGCGCGACCACCAGATACGTGGATTCGTTTTGGGTAAAGTCCGTAAACATATGTGCGTCTTGTTAAGAGCGGTGCTGATTAGACATGTTAATGCAGGCACGTGTGCTCGCAACGAGACGCGCTAACATATACACACGGTAGAGTAGCCGAACATTGTAACTGCATGGGAAATATTTCCAATGAAAACGTGACTTTTGACGCCCGGTGTCACTTGAAGCTTCCGCTTCGAATTGATAAAACGGCAGAGTTATTATTTCCACGAGCATACCACACAAACTGCATTACCAAGCTGCGCTGGTATATCTCCAATATTATTAATGCGCTGGCCGACGGAATGCGAAGGTTGCAGAACCACTTATAACACGTGACTTCACGAGCTCCTTCAAACTCATTATTATTACGATTACCACGCCGCCTAAAATCCGACGACATTGTAGATAAGCTTTGCAATAAAATATCACGGAAAGCGTGACTTGCAATCTGTGGATGTGAGTTGAGTGTGCGTGTGTGCGTGCGTGTGAATTCCTTACGTCATGTGCATATCCCCGCTAGTTATGTATTGCTCGGGGTATATCCCAGAGCCCGTAAAGCGGCGGTGGCGCACATCACGATGGTGCGAATGGAGCAGACGATCCTCGTGTACCGCTGTGCGAAGGAGGACAGCCCAAACCACCCGCATTAATCCGCCAGACTCTGGCCAAGGATCCCATCCCGCAATCACAGCATCAGTCGTTCTATCCCCGAAGCCCCTCCCTACCTCCTTCATACCCCCCACCCTCTCCGCCCCCACACCTTCCATCCCAATCCTTCTCTCCCCTCCCTCCCTCCCACCATGCACCACCCCCATCCACCACCCCCTCACTTCTGCAACCACCACCTCCCCGTCCCCTCCACCACCCCAGCCACCCCAATCCACCCCGCGCCCTCCTCCCCGTGAATCCTTCGCGGCTGCGAGAGCGGCAGAGACGGCTCTGTGCAGCGATGCTGCTGTTGCTGCCACTGCTGATGCTGGGCTAAGCGCGACGCGTGGAGCGAGCGAGGGAGCGGAGGAGCGAGCGCTCCGTGCACTCGCACCGGTTGAGGAGGAGACTCGGACGGAATTTTAGCGCGCACGGCTATCAGGGACCCGTGGCGCGTTCATTCGTCCATTCTCTTTTTCTCTCCCACCTCGCTCCACCTCTGTCGTTTCCTCTCTGTCTCTCTCGCTCAGTCTCTCTCGTTCTCCCGCTGTTTCTGTTTTCGCAATATTCGAGTGCCCGGCTTTGCTGCAGCTGCAGATCTTCACGATGCGTATCGCGAGAGGTGTCCTGCCCAGATCATAAAGGTACGTGGCACACGCAGCAAAAGCGTGCACGCGGTGGTGTACTCCCATCCACATGAACAAACAAACACATAACTGTTCATCTGTGAATGCGTTAGGCTAGCCTAACTCTAGTGGTTTCGCTTGTCTCATCGTTAGCCTAACAGCCGCGAATACATGTACGTTGAACTTCTTTCGCACCGTACGCAGCCGACCGTGCCAATCTGAGGTGCGTGATTAAAAATAACAATCGTGCGCATATTTCAAACGATGTATCCAATGCTACACGCGACGTTTCACGTAAATGGGCAAAAGCCGTACCACGAAGTTGCGCGCGTATGTGTGTGTGTGTCCAGCCTTACGATTAAACTAATTAGAAAAGAAGGAGCGATTTCAAGGTCTTTCCCTTCGTTGTGGATCTGCCTGTGTGCTGCCTACACCGTATATAGTCTACACTCGGAGTACATCCTGCGAAGCGTTAAGTGGCACCACCACCAACAACAAAAAAAGATTACGCATTCACGACACAAGGCAAAGCTCGCAAAGTTACACAGCTCGTCCGCACCTACCGGATTGCTTAAGGATTTAGTGCAGCGCCTTCGAGATGCCACTCATCCAGGAGGCGCAACGCGGATGAGTGTGTAAGAGTCATGATAGCACAGAGCATGCTTGGACGCGTACGTGCATGCGTGCGTGTGTGCGCAAAGATACGTACAGACGAATCGCGCACTTATCGTCTGCACAAACGTGTGTATAGCCACGCGTAGTCGACTCGCGACATAGATGTGTATGGTTTGCATATGCATCTGCATTTCCACATGTAGAACAATCTTACATGTGTAGTCTATATACACGTCTTTTCGTGTATAGATAACGACGTATAGAATAATGAAACATGTGCTCATACACGTGTGTGTGTAGCCACACATACGTATGTGTGACCAGTTATAATTGAATCATCCATGTAGAGTCTATGTATATGTATGTGTAACCACACATAGTCTAATGTTCATGTTTCCCCTACGCACGCGTGCTTGTGTGTATAACCACATATAGACTAATCGTACATGCATATCCTAACAATACGTGTGTGCGTGCGTGTGTATAGCCACTTAGTGGTGAGCGGTAGTGTAGCGGTTACGAATATATGAACCGGTCCTGTGCCTCCCGTAGGTCGACTCAGCCTCAAATGAGTATCTGGTGCGGTGTGTAAACATCGCCACTCAGGGACAAAGGCGGCCGGGCGTGGTGCTGGCTACCCATTCCCTCGTGTGCCTTCATAGGTGCTCGCTAACAGCACTTGCCCCAACAGCATGTTAATGTTGTGCGGGGGATCTTTGTTATAACCACTCAGTCGAATCATACATGTATAACCGCCTGGCACATACCGCGTGTGAAGCTGCGTGTGTGTGTTGCACTGCTGCGTGCGCATGTTGTTAAACTGTAAGAGGCAGCACTCACGATGGAAGGAAGCAGCAGCAGCAAGCAAGCAGTTGTGCCGCTTTATGCGCTCATGTGTTCAGGGGCGCACCACTCCACTGGCGTATGTGCGCATGGAAACGTGAGCATACGTGTGGTGTATAAGCCGCAGGCGAAAACACGTCGGCATTGGTACCCGCTAATCCTTTAAAGGCATCCACGAGTTCACTGCCGCTGACGTTAATTAGCAGACGGCGCAAAGTTGTCGGTGCTTTCGAGCGCACGGACGGAGGGTTGATGCAGCCCACGGACATTCTGGATATTTCAGTCACTTTTTTTTGCGCGCACAGGCGGGCATAATAACGTGGCCGCCTCGGAGTCTCATGCAGATTTGGCTGTCTGCTCGCCCGTTGCTGCTTGAAACATTACGCGTATTCACTTAGCGGCCGCTTGGCAACCAGGAGGACACGGCCCCAGGCTGTTACTCTATAGAGAGAGAGAGAGAGAGCCCGTGGAATGACAAAGGGGGCCGTGGCTCCCCAAAAATCGGCCGTTACGTGGTCGGCATGCCGCGCTCTGCATTCAGCTCCGAGTCTACTCAGCTGTAATGATGGCTTTTAAATACACTGAGCGGGCCCGGCGCGGATTATACATGCCAAGCACGTATGGCGCATTCTGCACGGGACGCTCACTCCGTGGCATTCAACGACGAAAGGGGGGTGGACTCTTATAATTCTAACTACTCATATACATAAGGCCAGGCTGCAGCGTACCCCCGTGGGAACTTTGTTATCAACGTGTGCCTCGGCTCAAATGAGCATTGTGGCGGTACTGGCAGTTGGCGGAAATTCCTCATTCCCATGACGGGGGCGGTGTGAGACAGTCTCTTATAAGGGCACCCACTGTTGGGGCTGAGCTGACCCACCCCCAACATCCGGACCGCGATTTGAATTCGCCACCTCCCAATTGTGAGTCGAGGGCTCCAACCGTAGCGCACCCGGTCGAATGATATGCACACACCCACGTTGCATTCTCGATGCCAGATTGACGACACTCACATCTCTAAAGCAATTCTCACCGGGCAAATGCACTCTCGGCCCCAAAACATATAGAAGAACGCAAACGCGTGATCTTCCGTTTCTGCTCTGCATGTAATTAGTATGAGCGCCGGCACCCTCACGCGTTGCGGAAATCCTTCCCAAAGCACGCAATTAGCCAACTTGTCCATCACGTGCAATGGAAGCACTATTAGCAGAGAGGAACGGTCGCGTATAGACACATTGAGCATTCGCAGCTCCGCTCGGGGACTGCTCACGACGAGGATGCTCAAATTCCTTGCACTGCGCCTCTGGATTATGAATACGGACGTGCAGTGAAAATTAGTTGTGACTGTGCTAAGCAACTTTGTTTTGTGTGTTAACTGTTCAGGGGACATCTCACCCGGGCAGGATGACGTATTGCTTGCGATTTTGATTCACGCGTCTGTGTGCGCGCGCGTGTGTGTGTGCGTGTGACTGCGGCTGTGTTTTATCGCTCTTAATTTTATTACCGAGAAGCGATGTCGTATAAAGTAATTTACATTATTTATGCCATCACCATAGAAACATTTGTTTCTTTGTGGCATCCACGATGGACCAAGCTATTTGATTTTTTTCATCGGCTTGAGTAATTGTATATCAAAGGGACAAATGAGATACACTGCACTATGCACACATCCTGCAGGCAGTATACAATGGTGCACAATGCACGCCGTGCTTCCGTGCGCTGCGCGGTCAAAATGACCAACGCGGCGACTGATTTCATGATTTTAGCAACACCCTACAGAATTAATGTTTATATTAGCTTAGCACATTTTGAAAGTGGCGGCTACGTTCACAGTGGTTGTATTCGCATGGATGAACATGCATTTCCATTAATGCAAACATGTGCCCTCTTCCAATCAACGCTGTATGCATCACCAGATAGGTGTGACAGACTTGCAACTTGCAAAGGATACGCACGTAACTAAGACGCATTATGGTAAACGTATGTGCAATGTGTGCGTGTGAAAAGTGAAGCTTTTGACAAGAGATATTCGTCTTAACGAGTATCCTATTGCATTCCCAAATAGTTGCGCTCTCGTTTCGGGCCAAGTTCATTTTTAAAATCCTTTATATTAAGTTCACTTGCTTGCTTGCTTGCGCGCTTACGACTGCGCAAATCTTTCGGTCGTTTTTTAACCCACTTCCCGTGATCCAATCGAGCTGACATTTTGCACACAGACTCGTTGTGCGTGATAATTTATTTTCGTGAAATTTTCCCCCAAAATTTTACACTTTTTAGGAAAAAAATAATTATATTTAATTACCAATTGCTTAATGGTGGCAGGCAATCATCTGACCCATAGGTGGCAGCCATCTCAAGCCAGAGGACGAGAGGACTCTAGCCGCCACGCATATAAAGGATTTAGAGTGAAAAACTTTGTTTTTACGGGTAAATTTTTACGCATGGGCACCATATTTGGTGATACTTTGTTGGCAATGGTACACATAAAAATAACACATTTGCCAACAGACACTGCTTAAAATGTAAACTAATACAATAGGCTACGTTTCGAGCAATGCCCCTTCTGCATAGCACATAGGGAGGCCATAAATATAAGAGTTGGAGACCATGCTCTAAATAATTGCCCAAAACGTCTCTCCATTAGATACAGAGTATTGCTTTTAAGGCAGTGTTATTGACGAAATTTGTCGAGTTTTTTTCGCGTGTGTGTTTGTTTATATATTGCCATGTCAGTGAATTTGTTTTGCACTCACACGTTGCCGTTTCCGCTGCCGTATTTAACCCCCATCCACCCCAACACGCACGCGCGCAATTGTTCATTTCGACACAAGTGCCGCAGCCCACACCTCCTCGCATTGAGACATTTAATGCGGACTCGCGTGGCGCTTTCGCATCCCCCAGGCCACCCCTCCCCAAGCCGATGTCTTCAGCTCACGGCGGCCACAAGGTGGAGACGTTGAGTCGCGCCTAACCCCAACCCCCAGCTCCCGCATTTTGAACGGCCTTCGTTTCTGTGAACGTCCGAGAGGCCGATGGTCCAAGGTTGCCACCGCCTCCTCCTCTTCCCCAAGCCGCCACTCTCGCTCGCAATTGCCGCATTCGCCGAGTCGACTGTAAACGAGACGCGCGCACGCGCCGCCGTCAAGGTGTGCTGTTTTCAAGCAATCTGGATGATAGTCCACTTTAATTGAGTGTGAATACGAATACACATTTGACGATGCAGGGTATTTAATCTTAATTTTGGAGCTTTCGTGACTGCAGGAATTATTCTTTGGTTTTTTCGGTAAAGTCACGTATAAAAATAAAATAATAAATTAAATAATAGCATACGACGTTTCGATTGCAACACAAGCAATCATCATCAGGTATAATGAAATAGCGACATAGAATATAACCAGAAAACTGTATCTTGGTGATATCTGTCTGCTTATATGTCTGTCTATAGTTTTCTGGTTATATCCTATGTCGCTATTTCATTATACCTGATGATGATTGCTTGTGTTGCAATCGAAACGTCGTATGCTATTATTTAATTTATTATTTTATTTTTATACGTGACTTTACCGAAAAAACCAAAGAACGATGCAGGGTATAGTCATAAAAAAATGTTAAAGGTGCAGGCCTGCCACTGCTGGCGGAAGGTCCTCCACTGCAAGCAGCTCTCGAGGGCCACTCTAGAGAGGCACTCTGGAGGGTTTTTGGCCTATTCCTCCACCTTGGCCGGTCGCCTTGGGAGAGGTGGGAGTACACACAGTTAACCCCCCCCCCCCCCTCAACAAACTCGACTTGCCAATCGACTAAGCTACGGTGTACCCGTTCATACCAGGGGACGGACAGAGGCGGGGATATATACAAGCACGCGTAACTTGTGGGTTGAAGTTTGACGCATTCCATCGTGTCATATTTCACTTTGTGGAGAGTCAGCAGTGGCGGATATCCGCATTTCACCAGTAAAGGAGGGTTAGGGCCACCAACAGAGACAGGTCGCAGCCCCCAATGAGACATGCACGGCATCATTACGTATGTTCACACCCGCAGCCTAACCCAATGCGATGGCCACCAACACACAACGTGCGAAATGCTAACCCGATGTAACCAAGTCGAGGTTAAGGCGTAGTCCCATCACGCACGACGTTTCCTGCGAGGCAACTGTGAGCCGTATGCTACGGGACGTGCACGATTGCACGTGCAGCGCGTGGGTCCCTTAAACCAGAATGAGAGTCGGCAAGGACCACCGCCCCCTCCACTCCACGCTAGGGATGTTCAGGAATCGTTCCTTAATTGATTCTGGGCCAGGAGCATGCTGCTGCTGCTGTCTGTCGTTGAGCCACGCGCGCTGCTCCACACTTTGCCAGGGGATGTGCGGACTGCTGCCACGCATGCCGCTGCCACACGCACGGGTTGTTGCGAAGCGGGTGAAAGTTAATCATTTGCACCCCCACCCCCCGTTTTGCATTGCATCTTGCAGACTAGCGCACGCTGGATGCGCCCACCCAGAATGCCGACGTTACGTATCATGACCCTGTTCATCCTCGTCAATTACCACTCGCCTGCCGGATGGGGCCAGCGCAGGGACGAGCGCCAGTGCTGGAGCTCTGTCCAGAAGGCGTTTTACGGCTCCTTCACCAGCAGGGATCCCTCGCATTACCACGACGACCGATCGGGGTGCGGATGGATAATAGCGAACCCGGACCCGGCCAAGTACGGCGTCTTCGTGAAGCTGTCCAAGGACGCGTTGGCGTGCTCCTCCCACCAGCTGCTGGCGTACATGTTTGACTCGAAGCCCTTCGACAACCGCACGAGCCAGGACGTGGATATTCTGCGCGAGGTGTGGGACGTGTGCGACGTGCCCTCGGCCATCGTCTACTTCCAGACGGACGCGCGCTACCTGCAGCTGCGCTTCTTCTCCGAGGACGGGAGCACCGAGACCGCCAGCTCGAACGCGCTGCGCGGCGCCGACCGGCCAGGAGTTTCGCTCGAATTCGTGATCCTCGCCACGGAGGCGCCTAGCGCGGGTGGCTGCCAGCTCGTGTGCGGCTGGTTGACCAGCTGCCCCTGTCGCCCCAGCTTGCTCGACGATGCGGCTTTGCACTGCGGGATCGTACAGGCGCCTTGCGACTGCTCTGCCCGGCATCTGGACGACCCCGGGGGAGGAGGAGGAGGAGAGACAGGTGGAGGAGGAGGTGCGGCAGCTCCCGATGAATGCGAAGGAAATTATAAACGTGCCTCGAGGCGCAGCTCCGCGAATGTCGAGTGTGATCCCGCCGAAGATGCCACTCCAGGTACCGTGCCTCACGCAGCTACTCATCACACAGCCACTCACTCATCACACAGCCACCCACTCATCACACAGCTACTCACTCATCACACAGCCACTCACTCAGCACACAGTCACTCACTCATCACACAGCCACTCACTCATCACGCAGCCACTCACTCATCACACAGCCACTCACTCATCACACAGCAACTCACTCATCACTCAGCCACTCACTCATCACACAGCCACTCACTCATCACACAGCCACTCACTCATCACACAGCCACTCACTCATCACACAGCCACTCACTCATCACCCAGCCACTCACTCAGCACACAGTCACTCACTCATCACACAGTCACTCACTCAGCACACAGCCACTCACTCATCACACAGCCACTCACTCATCACACAGCCACTCACTCATCACACAGCCACTCACTCATCACACAGCCACTCACTCATCACACAGCCACTCACTCATCACACAGCCACCCACTCATCACACAGTCACTCACTCATCACACAGCCACTCACTCATCACACAGCCACCCACTCATCACACAGCCACTCACTCATCACACAGCCACTCACTCATCACTCAGTCACTCACTCAGCACACAGCCACTCACTCATCACACAGTCACTCACTCATCACACAGCCACTCACTCATCACACAGCCACTCACTCATCACACAGTCACTCACTCATCACACAGTCACTCACTCATCACACAGCCACTCACTCAGCACACAGCCACTCACTCATCACACAGCCACTCACTCAGCACACAGTCACTCACTCATCACACAGTCACTCATCACACAGCCACTCACTCAGCACACAGTCACTCACTCATCACACAATCACTCACTCATCACACAGCCACTCACTCAGCACACAGCCACTCACTCATCACTCAGCCACTCACTCATCACACAGCCACTCACTCATCACACAGCCACTCACTTAGCACACAGCCACTTGCCACTTCCACGCATTTCCCCACCACCCACGTTTTTGCAACGTACCCCGCTAGTTATGGAGCACTCTGTCGCGCATTCTTTGTCATGCTTCAATGGGCGTTTGGCTCTCGATAAATTCATGTTTACAAGTGAAAGTGTAATTTTCAAGTTTACAGTGGTCATCTACATATTCCATCCTGAGTCAGTGGTGGACATCCCACATTCTATGACAGTGAATTGTTTATTCAAGACAACCACTGTTAACTTCCCACAAGGTAGTCCAGTACTTATAATATGGGAAGGGTTGGTGAAAGGATGGGGGCGACTGGGATTTAAACTCCCAGACATGGATCTGAATCATAACCCAATTGGGAGTAGAGTGCTTTGCTACATTCCACCCGTGAGCACATGCACATCAGATTATTTATACAAATTACTCGCAATGCATATCAAATAAACATAGTACGTATTTATAGATAAGGTACATGTGTGAATATCTACCAGAACATAGTTCTATCTTGTTTTATATAAAACATATGTGAAACAAAGTACACACTCTTTGCTGTGCAATTTCCAACGAGATAAAAGATTACTATTTCATTCCTACTTTATCCCGTGCCATCTTTCTCTTGTCAGATGTAATTTAGATTCTCGTGTCAGGAGCTGACACCTGTATAATACACGATGTATAAAAAAGCAACACACGGTGGGGCACGATTGTATTCAGGAAATCTATAACATCAAAGTGTAGGGGTGCTTTTGCCCAACAATAAATTTGTTGTTATAAAGTCGCCAGTGCAACGTGGCTATTGACGTGGGCTCATTACTTACCCTTTTGTCACAATCCAGCTTTGTTCAATCCCCCTTTTTTAAAAGTTTGGTCGAGAAACAATGCATCGACTTAATTTGTTAATTTCTGAAAAACTCACGCGTTATTATATATTTGTCTTGTGTTGCAGTACTTAAATATGACCAGGATCATATTGAATATTCCTGAGACATGTCGCAGAAAATACATTATTTTAGGTGCCAGCTCTTACGTGGACTAATTAACTACAGGTATAACGTGTCAAATTTTGACATCGTTGCATTGACTTAGCCTACTGTGCATAGTTTCAAACAAAAAGCATAAACAGCTTAATTTGACCTCTTATACCGCCGGTTCAAGCGCAGTTGTCGGCAAGCACCTGTCAAGTTTGGCTACGGTCACAAAACATGCTCAAGATAAACACCGCTATTACATTTGCCAATCATCATTACAATTCACAGCTGCTGTGGGCACTCAGCGATAGTGGTGAATATTACTGGTGACACATGACCCACCGTCTCTAAAATACCGTAAAACATTAGACATTGCCTGGACTCGAGCCCAAATTACAAAATAGCAATTCCACTGTCGTTGGCCCCTCCTGTGCCAAATGGATTCCGCAAGCCCCAAACCAAGGGTATATTTGAGCCTTGTGTTTGAAGCTGTCAACCCGGAGGCAGGACGTGATATCATTTGCGTGACCTTGCGGCAAAACGCCTGCAACATTTATAAAAGCTGGTTCGTGTTCGGAGAAGCGAGCACATGCCGTGCCAGCTGTAATGTTTAAAACGTAACTTAGCAAGCCCTGATTACAACGGCGATTATGATGACTAAGAATGTGATCATTATGCATTTACATATCTATGACTCATTAGCCCATTCATGTAGCCAGAACTGCTCAGATAATTCGCAATACCATTACATTTGAATTATATTACATTTGGGAATGGCATTTAACATGATAGTGGAGTCCCCCCCCCCCCCCCCCCCCATTATTTATATCTATATATTTAATTAATTACCTCATGAATGCTGCCACTTGTGATTTAAATATTACCATTATAGCCACTAGATGGAAGTACAGAGCCTCTGAATGTTTGGCCGAACATCTACGAAGGAATCATAATGCAGCGCCTGAATAAAGGCGAATCGCCCTCCGCGTAATCCCACACGCGCGCGTGTACAAATCACACGCGTGTACAAATCACACGCGTGTACAAATCACACGCGTGTGTACACAGGGCAACACAGAACCACGTGGATGTCGTCATCAGCTTTGCCACTGTGCACCGGTAACAAGAGGCGTTCGGTTTCATGAGCCACGGGCAAATGTTCACGGTTGTCTTTTTAAAATGCGGACGGCAATGGAATTAAAGGGATCCATACTCTTTGGTTCTTTCGGTAAAGTCACGTAGGTGTAAAATATAATAAATTAAATCACGACGTTTCGGGCACACACACAAGCATCCGTCATCAGGTGGGACAACCACCTGATGATGGACGCTTGTGTGTGCGCCCGAAACGTCGTGATTTAATTTATAATATTTTACACCTACGTGACTTTACCGAAAGAACCAAATAGTATTGATCCCTGCAGTCACGAAAACTTCAAATCTAGATTGAATTAAGGTGATTCAAGTAAAAGAGTGATTTTTTTCGTAACATGCATTAAGTGTGAGCATGTTTCAGTTTCATTTATTTGGTATAGCCCTGTGAGCCATTCGGCTCTTGAATCGGGTGCAACCGCAACACACATAAAACAAAAACATGAACAAGAAAACATCTTAAAGTGACTATGTGACTATGTGCAGACGGAAAATCTAAGAATAGACGGCAAAATATTGCAGAAAAAGCACGGTATAAAGCACCGTATGTGATTACCCGTTGAAACAATGATTCCATTGAATCTGACTTAGAGGTAATCTGTCTGCACATTATGCCCATACTCTGAAAGTTAATTTATACTACAACTTACAATGCACAGCTGCACCTAGGATTGAATTGTTTATAACATCTCAATAATATTGAATACTTCACAGTTTCTCTTGCCTGCATTACCATAAAATAATTGACGGATTTCGTGTTTCTTTGTTCAACTTGCTGTCATCAAGTGATCTTGCAGAGATCCATCGCAACAAGCGCAATTGCAGTGTCACCTGTTCACATGAAACAGCAACTTAATTGACATAATTGCATGAGATGCTTCACACGTATGGCCCAAATGAGGTCTATTCAGTCCATCTCAATTGCATCTAACTACCTCGGCCACAATCGTAGATGCTGCACACAATCATGAATGCACAATTCCTCTAATCATCTGCGTGTGTGCGTGATATTACTTTGTGGGGAGCAGTGGCGCAGTTCTTAGCACACTGCGCTACGAACCAGGGGACCCGAGTTCGCATTCCCGCTCACGGCCAACACAAGTAACAAATATATGAATTTGTCCTGGGCCTCCCCTAGATCTACTCAGCCTCAAATGAGTACCCGGTGCAGTGTGTAAACATCGCCACTGGGGGGACAAAGGAAGTCGGGCGTGGTGCTGGTCCACCAACCCCCTCGTGTGCCGTGGCGACCTTTATAGGTGCTCGCTAACAGCACTTGTCCTAACAGTCTGTTAAGGCTATACTGGGATTTTTTTTCTTTCTAACATGACTATGCAGGCCTCATTATCAGCCGGAACTTTCTGGGGCCGAGGTCTGGAAAATGCTATTTATGTATTCACTCTAATCTCTCTGCACGTATGATATATGGGTTAGACAGCCCTCTGTTAAGGAGCACTCTAACTCAGGATCACAAGGTCAAAAATTCAAACCCCAGTTAGGCACGGTTTCAGCTCATTATCTCTCTTGGGTTGATAAAATTAGTAACTCTTTGTGGGAAGCCAATATTGAACATCATATGGAGAGAGGTATCTGCACCATGCATACTCACAATTTAAACATTTGGCTCATGACCCAAAAGAGAGATTGACACCAGTGCATTGCTTGTTTGATCTTTTCATCACTTTAACTTTTACTTTTTTTACACGTATACGGATTATACTAACTGTTATGTGAACAATACTCTCGTAGATTATATTATATTAAATAGATGAGCCTCACTGTCATAAAAGTGAGGCTGCAAATGTGGCATTCTGCAATGTGTTAACTGACCTACTTTCAAAAACCATTTTCAAAGTTCTATATTATCATGACGGTTTTCGAAATGTTTTCGAATTGAATGCAAGTGCGATGAGATTGTAAGT